CTTAATAAGTAATTAAACATTCCTAACTCGCAACAATGCATGACGTAGTCACATATATACAAGGGGAATTTTGGATACACCTAAAACTCGAATCTTGTATCCAGAACTCCCCCTGTATATCTACTGTGAACACGATAACTTTAATACGTTTTAACGGATTTGGCTAAAATTTGGTACGTATATTTGTCACATTAATATCTCAAAATGAACACAACAATTTTAGAAAGTACCCCCTAAAAAAAAATTTTTTTTTACTTTTTTTCAAAAAATCGATTTTAATAAAAAAATTGTTTCAAAGCTAAAATAAAGGCAATACATATAATAATCTTATTCCTTACGTCAAAAGAAACTGATTGGTATATATATAAAGTTTAGATTTCATTTAAATTTAAAGAATAAATCTTTAAGGAAGAATTCCATTATTCTTCTGATCTTTTAAAAAATTTCACCTCGTAGAGGATGTAGAAAAAGTTTTTCATTTATATTATATTAATTAAACTTAATAATTGTTTACAGTAATTAACTTAATTAATATTATAATTAGTTTTGTTATAGGGACCGTCCATATACCACGTGGACAATTTTTTACAGATTTTTGACCCCCCCTCCCCCCTTGTGGACACCAAAATGCATTGGATCGTGGACAATTTTATACATTTTTAAACCCCCCCTCCTCCGCGAAAGTGTCCACGTGGTATATGGACGGCCCCATATTATTTTACTTGATTTGATGTCTTCTTTTTCTTTAATTGTTTTTATCCTCTCTCAGTTTCAATCCTACTTTTTTTTGAATTATCCAAACTTTTTCTTCTTTTTTATTTATTAGAGATATGCAAAGCCTGGATTTTAGGTCTCCAATAAAATCAAATGCTACCTTTGTGAGATATTTTTTATATTTATAAGTTGTTATAGTAATTTTCATACAATCAGTATGATTGGTATTTAGCCAATGTCATTTAAAGTATATAATTATTTTATTTATAATATTTTATAATATAATTAATTGAATATTTACAATTTTATTTAATATTTAATAGTTAAATATTTTTAAATGACTTTGTTTCCAAGATGTACCGCGGGGAGGTAACCAATCTCACATCTTAAAAATCTGAATCAAAAACGAATTAATTTGTTTACAAGAAATTTATACTTATTCTACAAGCATCAATAACAAGTTAAAGATTTAAATAAATACATTTTTATAAATTTTTTATAATAAATGTAATTAAAAAATCTTTATAGCTGTTGTGCTTATTAAAAATATTTAAAAGTTTGGTAAAAAGAATTTCTAATTTTACTTTAAAATACCTTGAATTTTTTTTGATATTTTTTCACTAGTGGAATAATCATTTACTTATAATTTTTATTTAACTTAACTCCTTGATTTTGTTTTTTTAATCGCTTTAATCGGTTCCTACGATTTTTTGTTATTTTTGGTACTCGAAACATTAACGATTCATCTGATTCCCACTCGATAACAATTTTTCCACGTTGAATCTCATCTAAATTTAATTTCAATTCATATGCTTCCAAATAATCTTCATATGACAATTCTTCTAAAATTTTTAAAACAATATTTAAAAGAAAATTAATTTTCATAATAAGCTTTAATTTGAGACATATAATTAAAAAATTTGGCAGACCATAATAAGTGATTGATCCCATCTTGATATTATAATCTGAAAACCATAGTATGAATAAAAATTAAATCGAATATAAGTTCAAAAAATTGCACTCGCATATTAAACCAAAGCTTTCGGACACAAATAATAATAATAATAATAGTATATACTGTCGTACAAAAATGAAAAACCATAAGTTCATTTTCAATTTAAATTTTTTATTCATGAAGTTTCTTTATTTTTTAAATTTTATAGATTGAAAGTATGAACAATTTGATTTGTGAAAGGTAAGAATTATTAATTGCTACCTACCGTGGACAAAAATTATAATAATTTAAATCTATATAATTTGTAAAATAAAGAAACATAATGGATAACATAATCTAAATTGAAAATCAGGTTACGGTTTTTCAGTTTTGCACGACGGTATACATTCAGTATGAAGATTTTACTATGAATCATTCCAAAAGTTCGAAAAGGAAACACTTTATATTGTTATTCAATTGAATATTTATGTATCTTTTATTAGGTTTATGTTGTAAAACATAAACCTAATAAAAGAAACATAGATATGGTTTATTCAATAGGGTACGGAAAAATAGGGTCCATTAATTACAATAGACGAACTATACCGTTAGCTCAACCGAGGCTGTCTAATAAAAAATACCTTTTCACGAATTTTCGCAAAATTACGAGCCGCAGTCGAACTTACCGTTAGCTCAACCGCGGCTGTCTAATAAAATACCTTTTCACGAATTTTCGCAAAATCCCGAGTTGCAGTCGAACTTACCGTTAGCTCAACCGTTGCTGTCTAATAAAATACCTTTTCACGAATTTTCGCAAAATCCCGAGTTGCAGTCGAACTTACCGTTAGCTCAACCGCGGCTGTTTAATGAAATACATTTTCACGAATTTACCGTTAGCTCAACCGTGGCTGTCTAATGAAATACCTTTTCACGAATTTTCGCAAATTAACGAGCCGCAGTCGAACTTACCGTTAGCTCAACCGCGGCTGTCTAATAAAATACCTTTTCACGAATTTTCGCAAATTCACGAGTTGCTGTCGAATTTACCGTTAGCTAAACCGTGGCTGTCTAATATATAGCATTTGACGAATAAATTTGTCAAGTTTCACGAAACTTTCGTTGTTATATTGATGTTTGGGGAGACTCATTTATTGAAATTTAAAAGGTTATGTTGATTTGAGAGGAAATTCTTGTATTCTATTTATTTCTATAATTCTTAGAAATGTCTTTCTCATTTCGATATTATCAGTGGAATAATACAAATTAGATGGGTTTTGATTTAAAATTAAGGATACCGCAAATGCAGTGGCATATACACCACATGAAGTAAAATCTGGCTGTTTTTGTTTAAGAGGTGCTACAATGATATTATTAATGGTTAAGTTCGGGTAGCGTTTACGAATATATTCTTGTTCCAAAGGATCTAAAGCATGAAATGTTAGTGTATCGCAATACAAACTATCATAAATATATAATCGAATTCCATCGAAATAAATACACCGCCAATGACGTGATGTGCTTATTCCACCAATAATTTGAATATCTCTTCTATTGTCATAAATCGATTCTATGACAAAAGAATTTTGAATTGATAAAACTGTAATTGGGGAATATTCGGTTTGTGAACATATGATATCCATCAAAATATCAATTTCAATATTTTGTAACCATGCATTGGTGTCTAATATTCGCAATTTAATTTCATTGTTTATTCTGTTATTGTTACATAAATTAATTTTCTTTTTTTTTCGATTTATTACTTTCATTTATTGTTTCGGAACAATCGGTTGTACAAATAAAACTATTATTATCATTAATAGATTTATTACGCATTCTTTTTTTCGTTTTATTTTCATTTATTGTTTCTGAATTCTGTGTTTTACTTATAAAATCATTATAAGTATTACTAGATGTACTTATTGTCTTAGTAGTGGTAGTCTTAGTTTCAATTTGTTTTAATTCATTGCAATCATTTTGAGTGTTTTCATGTTCTTTAATAACAATACCAATAAAAATTGGTTTGTGATCTGAGAAATTCGTTTCATAAACACCTGATGAATAAATTTTTAACTCATTTGTTAAAAATATTATGTCAATTTGAGTATTAAAATTGGTGGTCGCAATCCCCTCATCAATACCTCTTATATATCCAAGTTTGTTCAAATATGTTTCTAAAAATCCATTTAGCTGAAAGCAATCAAAATTGAAATCACCAATAATAATATTTCTCTTATTATTTTCACTGCAATTGATTATTTCATTAAAATTCTCAAAAAACATTTTTCTCGAAGTACTTGGTGATTTATAACCACTAATAATGTTAATATTACAAATTTCTATGTTAAATAAATCTACATGATGTTGATATTCATTAATAAGATTCGTTTTGCAAACATTTTTGATAATTTTGAATTTTAAATTTTTTTTAATAAAAAAAATTATTCCTCGTGGTAATTTAGATGTCTCAGCATCAGATCTAAAAGCAATTACATAATTATCAATTTTTACTTCATCCAACTTTTTCAAACGTGTTTCGGAAAATATTAGTACATCTGCTTGCTTGTACCATGCATCACACAATATGTGCTTAATATTTTTTTTTAAAGAACATACATTTTGATATATAATTTTTAGATTTCCATCAATATTATTTATATAATCCAAATTTAAAGATATTTCAGTTTTCATTTTTTCAAGTTCTGAATTGAGAATATTATCCTTTTTTAAATTACTTAAAAAATCTACATCTCCTAAAATATATAGATCATTCAAGTGACAAACTCGACTAAATGCAACATAAACCATAGATCTTGTAAGCCTATAATTTTTTCGAAAGTCTATACAAACTTGATTATATGTTTGACCTTGACTTTTATGTACAGTCATTGCTTCAGCCGGAACAAGAGGAAATTGTTCCCTTATTATTTTATAACCCATTCTTTCATTTATATTAATTGGAACGGAAGATTTAAGAATTGGAACCAAATTTAATGGTATATTGTTTTTTAACATAAATTCTTTATAAATGACACGAATTTTAGATCCCACTGTTTCCTTGTGAAAGTCAAGCCACAATATGGTTGGCATGCCATTATTAGAAAATGTTAAATTTTTTAATGTTCCATATGCCCCATTAACTAATCCATCACTAACTTCTATATTTGTTATTATCATGTACTTTATATCAATCTTCAAATTTAATTTATAAGAAAATCCAGCACAATCAATTCTACTCTTATTTTTCATGATTTGTTTTAAATACTTAATCTTTTTCATGTCCATTTTACCAAGAATATGGTCTGTTGCATAAGCATTATGAGATATGTTATCATTTTCTTTAATCTTTTCATCTTTATATATTAACATATTTATTTTCTGCAAATAATCTAATAGCTTGTTTCGGAACGTCAGATTCATTAAAAATGCGCAATGAAAATAAAGATATATCGTTTGTAGAAATTGTTCCATTTGCTAAATTATTTAAACTTTCAATAAAAGTTCTATCTTCCTTTTGTCTCATAATTTCAGTTAGCTCAAAAATTTTGAACTCTTCCCAAAGTGGATTATTTGCTAGTATGCATAGATCAGAAGTGTTTGGTGTTGAATAAATTGGTCTGTCCATAACGGGTGGTAATTGATGCAAGTCTCCAACCAAAATTACCGAAATACCCCCAAAACTATCATTAATACCTTTAATTTGCCTCAATCTTACATCAACTCGATTTAAAGTTGTGCTTCCAACCATAGAAACTTCATCTATTATTAAAAGTTCTACATCGTTCATTTTTTCACGTAAAGTATTTGCAACATTTGATGACAATTCTTGAACTTTTCCACCAAATTGAGTTATTGGCAGAGCAAAAGCAGTATGAAGTGTTACTCCATTTATTAAAAATGCAGCTTTACCAGAAGGTGCACATAATAAGACTTTGGCACTATCAGGATTTAAAACTTTATTTTTAGTAAGATAATTTGATACCGATTGATAAATAGCATCAATAGTTTTTGATTTTCCAACTCCAGTTGAACCACTTATAAAAATTCTTAGTGGAAGTTTGTCTGTTTTAAAAGAATTTAAAATATGCATGGTAATAATTTTTTGTTTACAATTTAATTCATCAAGCATTTCGTTAATATTTTCTTCATTTTTGATTAAAGGGACTGTTATTCTGTTATTGTTTTTGTTTATACTACCATCTTTAAAATTATTATCAAAATCTTTTCCATGATTAAATTGATCAAAAATATCTACTTTAAAGTTATTTTCATCTAAATTATTTCCCAAATTAGAATCATCATCATTGTCAGAATCAAATATTTTTTCTGCTTCTGCATTTTCTAAAGCTTTTTCTATTTCATCATCTCCAAAATTTGAAAGTTTCTACGGTTGTTTTGAATAACTTCGAGGTTATGATTGTAAACCTCTTCTACATTTATGTTTTCTACTTCCAAAGTTTCGTTTCTCCATGGTAAAAATAACAAAATTTGTTCGCGAAAGTAATTATTTTTATCTTGAATTAATTTATATTTTCTGTATCGTAAAATTTTACTTTTTTTTCTTTTTTTAATATTATCTTCTTCAGAAAAATCGTTATCACTTAATTCGTTTTGAAAATTTTTGGGAGATTGAAAACTAGTTGCATACTCAGCTAAGCAAACATCCTTTAATTTTTCATCTCTTTTTGAATAATTTTCAAAAATATTTGAGTAATAAACATCTGTCGAATCATCATTTAATATTTCTAAGTCCTTTTTTCTTTTTAACATTCTTACTCGATCGTTAATAGGGACAGTATTGATATAAATTTCAGATCTGCTACATTTAGATAAAGGTAATGACAAGACGTGATACGAAGCTTCTTGAGAAGATAATACATGACCGTTGATAAATATATTAGCAAATTTCCTTAATTTTTGTTTTATATCAAGATTTCCATTTTTAACATCCAATGCTGCTTCACGTAATAATTTCGAGAGACCTTCATCAATTTTTGTGACATAATTTATCATATATGAAGCACATGAAAAAGGATCGAGTACAAATTGGATATCCATATTAGATTCCATTAAAACAAGAAGTGTTAAATTGTAACCATTAATTGAGACATCTTCACTTCGACGTCTTAAAAAAACTTTAGGACTTTTTAAAGAAGATCTAATAGCATTCATATATTCTGTTTCTGAAATTTTTAAGATCTCTAAAATTTCTTCAAAAGATATAGTTGTTATTTTATCAAAATATAATGCCATTAAATCTTTAATTTTTTTTAAATTATTTCTTTTAGACTTTAAATCTTTCTTTTCCGTTTCTTTCAATGGTTCAAGAATAACAGTTTCTCTCATAACGAACTTAGGAAAGTCAAACCTACATTTTTTTAAATTTTTGAATCCCTTGTAGCATGTTTGCTTATGTGAATGTCTTTGAAATGTTATCAACGAGTTTTTTGGATCATATTGGCATGTTATGAATTTATCAATAAATTTCGTACATTCAAGATGAGAATCATTATCGTTTAAATTAAAAATCGGTGCATTATTGCAATAAATGAGATTGTGAGTATGGACAGATCCTCTAGATTGAAATTCTCTTCGTTCAAAGTAATCAGTTACAAAATTATCGCAAAATGGGCCATATTTCAAAATTGACATATTCTGAACGCGTGAAATCAGAATGCCGACGTACCGATCGACGGGCGTGTAATCCTACTAATATTTTATTTATGGCAGATAAAAAGATTGAATTTTCAGTCATTTCCAATCTTAACACTACCAATCTGTAGTGATTTCCCCACTTGGTGCCCAAGGTTGTGTCCGTTTCTAGAGAAACTTATTTTATTTCTATCAATGAAAGTGATTTAAGAAAATACATACAGAACTAAATGTAGACATTGTGATTTAAAGAAAATCAGTATTATTGAACAATAACAATTATTTTTGAAATTAATTGATATAATGGTAAAGCAGATTCAATTTATCAAAATTTAATCTTCTCCTTTGATAATAATGTAATTTGATTTATGTTACTCTTTACTGTATAAACTTATACTGAACTTTAACCATTATAGCGCCTACCTAGATTTAGTTAATATTTTCTATTTTGTATTGTTACTTACGTAACTATTAGAATTTAGGAGTACTTTTGTACGAAAGGGCATGTCCCGTTAATAAATGAAATTGAAATTGAAATTGAAATATTTATTTTCCATAAATTTTCTAATTTCGTTGAATTTATTTTCTATATATCGTACACATGTTATTGGATCGTCACGAATTAATTTAGTTTTAGTATCCAAATCTAAAAGTAGGGCATTGGTGGCACTAATAGATTTATTATATTTCAAGTTATATAACATTTTGAGTAATTCTGGGCATTCTTTTTCATTTGCGGAAAAAGTAATAAAGAACGTGGGTATCCCACGTAAGTTAATTAAAGAAAATAATTTTTTTTTGTTTTCCCAATAAGCAGGAGATCCTCTTACATGTTTTAAAAATCGAAATCCACCATCATGTTTAATTACAGCATTCAGAAAATCTGAATCTGTAGCTTGCTTTGCGGTAATAGAATTTTTCAGTTTATGTTTTCTTAAGCAAATGTTAAGATTGGAAATGACTGAAAATTCAATCTTTTTATCTGCCATAAATAAAATATTAGTAGGATTACACGCCCGTCGATCGGTACGTCGGCATTCTGATTTCACGCGTTCAGAATATGTCAATTTTCCTTCAGGATCCATTGGAAAACCACCATATATTGATGGAAAAGACAGTTCTTGAATATTTTTCATAACATGCCATGGAATAGGAAATTTACCTTGACCAGGAGCAATATTAATTATATCATTACTAATTAATTTATTTCTGTCAATAATCAAGACTTCATCATTATCCTCAAAAATATTATCATTTTCAGAATCATCTTTAATTTCATTGATATTATTAATTTTATTTTCATTTTTATTAATTTTTGAAAAAAATTCATCTCGAGGAGAAACAATGAAATCAATTTTTTTTTCAATAGATTTATCGTAAGATTTGAAGAAATTTTTATCAACTTTTATATCATTTTCTAGATATAAAGGAGTAGTTATTAAATAATTTAAAGCTTCACATATTTTGGATGGTTTTATGGTCTCAAACATATAATGTGAAGTATGGTCTTCGTGCCTTTTAAGCTTTATTTGTACAGTCGAAAGTTCGTTAAATTTTCTTGGCAAAACATTGATCATTTCATTAATTTCAACTTTAATGTTCACAACGCTGCCCTTTAAAGATAACTGAGGATTTAATGAATATGGTAATAATGGCTTTATTTGACCGAATGGTAATATTGGTGAAACTAGGCGTTCTTCAACAGGTGATAAATTTCTTAAAATTTCCGGAACGTTATGAAATTTAAGATTATAATTTGCCGCCATTTTGGGAACTTTACATTTCATAATGTAATTTTTACAAGTTTTACAAATTAAATTTGAATTATTGTTTATAATCGACGAAAAAAAGATGTTTAATTCATTTTTAGAGCATTTATCAATTAACAGAGTTTCAATATTGTCTTTCTTCCATGGGACTAAAGATCTAGAAAAAAATAAATTATCACAACAAACACATGATTCGTTTGGACCATTTTTTCTTTCCATTATAAAATCATAAATCAATTTTTTCTCGTAAAAGTCATCCTTATCAACATTTAAATTGTCTTTGATAATTGTCATGTAACGTTCTCGGAAATAAAGAAGTTCATTTAACCGTTGATCCTTTTTTCTTTTCTTTTCTCTGTCTTTCACTGTTTCATCATTATAAAAATCATTTAATTTTTTATAATTATTATTTTTTATCTTTTCTGCTTTTGAAAAAGAAATATCTTTTCTCAAATTATTTACTTTGATTTTATTTTTAATTTTTTCTTTTTCTGAATAATCATTATTACATCTTAGGTTTTTAATCCGTATGTAATTTTTAGAATATTCTTGGTCTTTATAATTTTCGTCTTTTCTTAAAACTTTGTTTCGTTCAATATTTTTATTTAATTCAATTTTCTTATAAAGTTCATTTTTTCTTAAAAGTTTATTTCGTTGTAAATTTGAAATTGATTCTCGTTTTGAAAATATTTCATTTTTACGTAAACATTTAATCCTATCATTGTTCTTTAGCAATTCTTTCTTTTTATAAATTTTATTATTTCTTAAAAATTTGTTTCTTTCAATATTTGTAACATTTTCTTTATTTTTGTAAATTATACTTTCGCGTAAAATTTTATTACGTTTAATATTTTCGATTCCTTCCATTTCGCGGTACTCTTTTTCACTGCGTAAAACTTTATTACGTTTAATATTTTCGAGTTTTTCACTTTCGCGGTAATCTTTTTTAATACGTAAAACTTTATTACGATTAATATTTTCGATTTTTTCCCTTTCGCGGTACTCTTTTTCACTGCGTAAAAGTTTATTACGATTCATATTTTTGATTTTTTCCCTTTCGCGGTACTCTTTTTCACTGCGTAAAACTTTATTACGATTAATATTTTCGATTTTTTCAATTTCGTGGTACTCTTTTTCACTACGAAACACTTTGATACGATTTCTATTTTTCAATAATTCTTTATCGTGATAGTCTTTTTTAATGCGTAACATTTTATTACGATTTTTATTTTTTAATAATTCTTTACCGTGATAGTCTTTTTTAATGCGTAACATTTTATTACGATTTTTATTTTTTAATAATTCTTTACCGTGATAGTCTTTTTTAATGCGTAACATTTTATTACGTGTCATATTTTCTAGTGATTCTTTGGATTTATAAGTAATATTTTTTCTTTGCGATCTCTTATAATCTTTATTTTTTAACAATTTTAAAAAATAATTCTTTTCTTTGCTTAGACATTTTGCTTCATGAGTAAGGATTGTATTATTTCTCATGTTTCTCATAATTTGTTTTTTGATTCGTCCACGATGATCTATACTTCTTTTTTTTAAGAAAACCATTTTTAAAAAAAATTTTGATTTCTTAAAAAAAACATATAACAGTTATAAATAATTTAATAAGGAATTAAATGACCTCATTTTTGTTTAATTACTATCACTGTTTGTATGTCGATATAAATTGGTTTGCTTGATAATTGGAATCATATGAATGGTAATTCAATCACGTATTAAATTCATCTATAATTTATTCCACTTATCTAAAATAAAAAATTAATTACAATTTTATATTATACTAGCTGTAATACCCGTCTTCGACGGGTTTTTGTAATCTACAAAGCAATTAAAAATTTTGTCTTTACATTGCTGAAAACTATAATTTAATTTCAATTCTATTTATTTACATGCTTGTTACAAAGCTAAATAAATAAAAAATAACTTAATTAAATGTCACAGGTTTTTCAGGAAATTAGACCCACCCGTCCCCTGTCACAATTATTGCATGTATTATTGGCGCCCCTTTTTTATAGATTGTCACAAATTGGTTGACCACCCTATTCCTATAATATTTGACCAAAAAATCTTAAACAGGGAAACCTGAAATAACCCCCGTAACAATATTAAGTGCAATTAATTACAATTTTTTAATTTATAGTTTTCTGACCTTAGAATATTTTTAATTTGACATTTCTTTTTTTTTGTAGTTTAATAATAATTATTTTAATAATAATAATTTTACTTTTTTCACTACAAATTCCTGTAAATTAAGTTTAAGAGCGATTCGCTGCAATTATTCTTTTTTCGATTTTTTGATCCCGAAAACTGTTTTATAGATACATCTCAGATTCAGCTGGTAAAAAATGAATAACTTGAAAATTAGATATTTTGAAATTTTCAAAAAAATTGTATATTTCCCGTTCTAATTAATATTTTCCAAATCTGTAAATTTATAAACCTAACTTGGGCCAATACCTATCACATTGCCAAGTTTCACTCAAATCGGTAGAGCCGTTTATGAGTGATTGGCATACAAAGTTTTGTGACAGACATACATACATACATAAAAATTTTTTATTGTCATTTTTGTAATTCTTAATGTTCAAATCGTCAAATTATGTAAAAATTTTGAAGTTTTAAGCAATGTAAAGAAAGAAGTATGATTTTATTAATATAGATAAAATAATATATGTGATTTGGACAGTTAAAAGCGACCTCTGATTCTAAAAAATCGATTTTCACGTTTTGGTTGTTTCTTATAGAAAGCACTTCCGAAAGAGATTTCCCTCCAATTATTAAATCCTCATGAAAATTGCCATAAAATACATATTTTAAAAACAAATTGTATTTTTAACAAAAAAGGAAAAAGGTTACAGGGTGTCTACTAACCGGGAAAACCGGGAAAAAAATAGCCGGGTAACGAAAAAAAGGCGGGAAAAACAGGGATATAGTCAGGAAATGAAAAAAAAACGGGAAAACCGGAAAGTAGTCGGGAAATGAAATACCTAAAATGGTAATTTTAATAAAATTTTTTTAAAAAATAAAATAATTTAGTATCTTGAAGCGGGAAAAAAACGGGAAATATTCGGGAATTTTAAAACTGGTTTGCCTATCTCTGTTAGTTTCAGTAAATTGAAAAGTAACGCGGCCTCGCTATAATGTTGGAGCCACTTGAGCATTAATAAAAAATACTTTCGGTCCGACCCAACTCCATCCTACAACTTCTTTCTTTTTTTGTTAAAAATACAAGTTGTTTTTAAAATATGTATTTTATGGCTATTTTCATGGGGATTTCGTACATTTTTGCATTTTTCTCATAAACTATTAATTTTTTTTAAAAAATGCATAGAACATAAAAGATGTATTTCATTGAGGTGTGCAAATTTTATCTAAAGTATTTTTTTATATTTTTTATATCTACTATTATAAATGCCAAAAACCATGAAATTTATTTTTTATGGTTTTTACCATGAAAATGAGCTAGTCGCTAATTTTTACTATGATTTTCGTGATCAGCGTCAAAAATTACGTAAGGGTACGAAGTATTAAAAGATTTGGAGGGAACTCTCTTTCGGAAGTACACCCCTTTTTTCAATGCAACAAACCGCCCATCCTAAGCTTCATTCGTTTTTTAGGGAATAATCGCTAAAAGACGGGAAAATGCTGTGCGAGCGTTTACCCGTCTCGTAGTTTGTCCGATTTTGTCACTTAAGGTATTTGTCAGGAGGAGGGGAGGGTAGGGGGGGGGGCAAAAGCAAGCCAATCCATAAATTAAGGGTTCCGACGCGGCTCACTGCGTGAACGTAAACCATAATATTTATTTCGCATTATGATTCAACAAGAAAAAACAATTAAGAGTTACACTCTCACAAAAACCGCGGGTTAAGTATATAAGCGCTTGTGTTATCTCTGAAATTCTATAAAGATCAACTCCAACCAATCTCAATATGTTTTTTAAATCTCCACGTAAAAAATATATTTTTCGTGTAGGACACTTTTCCCAATCATTTATGAAGATGTGTCTGACTAATAATAATAAAGTCTGGTAATTTTCGAAAAAAAATGGTACAACCCAAAATCCGCGAATAATCGCGAAAAGACGGGAAAATGCTGTGCAAGCGTTTACCCGTCGCAGAATTTACGAAAAAAAATGGTAATCGCAAAAAGACGGGAAAATGCTTTGCGAGCGTTTACCCGTCGCAGAATTTTCAAATAAAAATGGTATAGTCAAATATACCCGAAAAATCGCGAAAAGCCGGGAAAAGGCAGTCAAATAAAATACAGTCAAAAATCCGTGAATAATCGCCAAAAGACAGGAAAATGCTTTGCGAGCGTTTACCCGTCGCAGAATTTTCGAATAAAAATGGTACAACCCAAAATCCGCGAATAATCGCGAAAAGACGGGAAAATGCTGTGCAAGCGTTTACCCGTCGCAGAATTTACGAAAAAAAATGGTAATCGCAAAAAGACGGGAAAATGCTTTGCGAGCGTTTACCCGTCG